GTGGGAGCTAAAAATAAATAAATAAATTCACACACACACACACAAACCGGCGGGGGGGGGGGGGGATGAAGACATAAGAACTACAATTCCTTGAAGTTGATATGACAGGCAAACAGAAAGTATATTGTTGGGAGGGAGGGGGGAGAGGGAGGAGGGAGTGAGGTTTTGGTAATGGGCCACAATAATCAACCACATTGTATATCGACAAAATAAAATCAAGGGAAAAAAAAAGAAAATTTCAGTGCACTAAAAGGTGATGAGTTTTAGTTTTATCTTATTTTAAAAACATGTGTATTTGCTTATAGTAAGTTAGAATAAAAAGTGCCTTGAAATTATTATGTTCTTCTATACCTTAATTCATTAAAGCATTATGAGAGAAAAAAAAAAGTATTCTCAAAAAAATTTTTTTATTTTTTATTTTTAGTTTTATTTTTTTTTGTCCTTTTTGAGACCGGCCGCACCGTGCTCAGCCAGTGAGCGCTGTTAGCGCACCGGTCATCCCTATATAGGATCCAAATCCGCAGCGGGAGTGCCGCTGCGTTCCCAGCGCCGCACTCTCCCAAGTGTGCCACGGGCCTGGCCCTCATGAAAATTTTTTAAAAATAAAATAGTATTCATTTTTTTTAAGTTTTAGACCCACCTAAATACAAGCATGCTTCAAAAATTTCGTGGAAAAATGGAATTTAAAGATAATACGAATCTTTCCATGAAGTTTTTGTTGTTTTTTGTTTTGATGTCTGTCAGGTACAGGAATCGAACCCTGGACCTTGGTGTTATCAGCACCACACTCTAACTAACTTAGTCAACTGGCCAGCCCCTCCTAATATCTTTTAAAATGACATTGCCTAGTCTTAAATGAAACACCTATTCTTTAATATAAGCCCTATTTCATACCTCAATTTCAAACAGTTAACTGAGTTCCAATTCAATCGAGCTCATAAATTCAGTATGAAAATGAGTTACCTGAAAACTGAAACTCATTCTAGTACACATGCTACATCAGCCAGAAATTCACAAACCTGGTCTTCAAAGCCTATGCCAAGGAATTTCAAAACTAAAATTTCCTTTCTTAAAAAAGTATAGGACATGCAGCATCTCTGGGAGAAAAACTATCAATAAAACTAAAAAAAAAAAGTAGGAAATACCAACATAAGCAGTTTACATTATGATTTTTAATTTTTTTTTTCTTTTTTTGGCAGCTGGCAGTTATGGGAAGCCAAACCCTTGACCTTGGCATCACAAGGTGGCGCCCTAACCAACTGACCTAACCAGCCAGCCTTAATCTTTAGCCTGATAAATTTGGTTCCTTGACTTCGGGGGAAAAAAGGATTCTACTCCTAAATACTTCATAGTTTGGTCAAAATTACTTCAAAATCTACCACAGGTTTACATGGTGATATTCCTTACAGGTCCTCCCTCTCTTTGCCTTCCTTAGGTTACACCTCCACTCTCCTTTTTTGGGAAAAACAACAACAGCTGCTTCTAAGATCTAACAGATCTACCACCTCACCAGTCAACACGGTTGTCATAACACTTAGCTTTTAAGGACGCCTCATTTACTCCAATTAACAACTAAGAGCAAACTGGTATTTGCTGACATTCAGGTTACCTCATAAGGAGAAATAAACAAACAAGATTTGCTTAAGAGTAGAGGAACTTCACAATCTGTGAATTCATGCAGACTGCTTCTTTTGAGCAAGCATTAAACCTATTCACACACCCCCAAAAAAGTGTCTTATAACAAAGGAAATGTTAACAAGTCATCATTTAAAAAAAAAAAAGACTGAGAATCAACATTTCAAGGCTAACACTTTAAAAGTAAAGGCTTCACTTCAGACCACTTCAAACACTCAAGTCAGGTTTACACTTTGTACATACATTTTATACTCAAGGGGGTACAGATATAAAGTAGTTCCCATTAAACAAGCACATACTGAAATAAACCTATTCTCCCACCATTTCTCTCTAAACAAAAAAAGTCACTCAGGATACCAAGAAAGACACCCCGGGTGACCACGGCACAGGCTCCACCAGTTACCAGGAAAGGGAAGCAGAGGTGTTACTACTGTTCCAGTATAGTTTTAAAGGCAGCTCCATGTGACTACATGGTCCAGCCCACATTTAAAGAGAGACGTCAAAGGAAACTACAGCAGCAGGAAAACAGGCAGGAGGGGCAATTACCACAACCTTTTCCCATGTCTTCATTCTCTCTCATGCCACCACTTCCAGCCATATTTCAATCACAGCAGAAACCGCCCTTCTCTGAAACGTTCATTATTGAGGGTCAGAGGGAACTGGGAAGCAATGGTAGGAAATCAGAGCTGTGGGAAACAAGCACGACAGGGGTTGGGGGAAATCTCTCATCACACGTGTGAACTAGTCATAAGTAGGAAAATCAGGAGGAGCACACCGGCAGCAAGCAGAGGACTAGTGTGGGAAACTAATCACCTTTGCCTAATCATGAGAAAAGCCTTCACAACAACGGGAGGATGGCCATAGCCAAGGGGCTCCAAAGGCAGGTAAGAGATGTTGGTGTACTGGAAGACCCTATCATCTCCAGAGTGGATTTTATTCCCTTTCGCTAGATAGATGAGGACCATAGCAATGTACCTACACAATGCCCAGGACACAGGAGAGCTTAGCTATGATGCTCATCTTCCTTCCACCTTTGACAAACTGACGCTAATAAAGAATGTACAATTCACGGAGAAAAGTGAGGCACACATTAACCAGTGGCAAACCCCTTGGTGAAAAAAGTGCTACTATAGTGGAAGAGAAATATAAGAACTGGGTTCACCCAAAAAGTTAATTATATGCCCTTAAGTAAAAAATGATCTTTGGACACCTTATGGAAACCTTTAAAAGCTTTCAACTGTTAGGATACACAGGTGCTGTAGATATTAAGCCTAAATATTGGCATACCATATATCGTGGATGTGAGACAGAAACAATATCCGACAGAGATGGTAGTAAACTATACAGGATTATGTCAAACAGAAAATAACAGTGATGATGATGGCCTCAACCCCTGGAGAGAAAAAGGTTCAGAGACCAGAGTGGTGACAGCTGAGATACCTGGGCAACTAATTGGATTGAAAACTCAGGGGAAAAGGTGAGAAGGCCGAATAAGTGATTCGGAGGCAAAGAAAACTGAGTTGTACGCACCAATAAAGAATAACATTTTGAATATGTGTATTTCAACAGCGCTTTACAGTTTACAAAGCGCTCTCAAACCTATATGGAAGAAAAGAATAAACTGTGAACCAACTAGACTCCAAGAACCGGGAGTGAGGAAAAAAATTGAGTCCTGACTGAAAGCAGAGCCCTACAGAACGAAAAGGAGAAGTAGAACTCAACTATGCCTCCGGGAAAGCCTAGAGAGCGCAGAAGTTGGTCTCTAAGAGGGCCAGTCCCGGGACGAGCGACGGGCGTGGAAGCGGAAAGGTGGTCGGCGTGGAAGCGGAGGGGTAGCGTGGCGGGGAAGCTCCAGCCTCCAGGCAGAGACCGAGGTGAGAGAGAAAACCACACCCCCCAGGGCAGAAATCCCAAGCGGGGGTGGGGAAGGCGCCCCCCTGGGGCTGGGTGGGGCCGGGCGGACTAGGATGGAAGAAGGTAGGAAGAAGCACAGGGCAACCCGAGAGGGAGGGGAAGGAGGCCGCCCGGGCCTGGACATACTGAGAAAGCGTGAAGCCGGAGAAGGAAGCTCGGCCCGGTCCTCACGGGTGGGCACTGGGCAGCCTGAGGGGGGCTGGGGATTCAGAAGAGCCAAACACGGGACTAGAAAACACACGCTGCAGCGTTCAGAGTCCTGGAAGAGGAAAGGAGAGGGAGAGTGGCAATTACCGCTGCTGCTGTCGCTGGACTCGGGACCCGCAGCTGCCGCCGCCGCTCGTTACCTGCCAATGTGCCTCTTACAAAGCGGCGGCGGCGGCAGGGGCGGCCGGGCCCGTCACGTCACGTGACTTCGGCGTCACGGGCGATGGAGGAGCCACTAGACGTCGCTCGCGCGCGGCTCCCGAACCCGCTCGGAGAGCCCGCAGCCTCTTCCAGTCACTGTCCCCACCCCAACCGTGGGAAGCCAACAGCGCAGGGGTGGGGGGAGACGAGGGAAAAGAGCAAAGGGAGGTTTTACGGCACTTCTCGTCCTCGGAGTTATCAGGGGAGTTACCCACGGCTTCCTGGGTGCTCACAACTGCAGCTTGTTGTCGCGCTGTGATGACCTCACAAGACCCAAAAGTGGCTCCCTTACGGCCGCTTTCCTCTTGTCACGTGACGTGGCCCAACCTCTCAAAGCAAGCGTGGCCTCCCAAACGGTGCACCAGGGGAGTGTGACTCCCAGCAGGCTGCACGGCACAGGCACTCACTACCGCAGCCTTTCCCCCGCAGGTGCATCACGCACCGCCAGACGCCTCGGTGCCCCTCGGTGCCGGGGAAGGCCGTGTCCGAAGCCCGCGGAGCTAGCTTCTGGGACTCACAGTAGTGGGTGCCGCCTGCCAGCTGGCTGAGTGTGACTCCTGCTGGGAGGTGTCGTCCTAGCAGGGCGTGGGGTTCCGCTACCAAGTTCGGTGGCTCCCGCCCCCTGCGCGGGAAAGGGCCAACGGCCGGGATCGGAACCCGGTGCACGGAGAACCTCCAGGAGGCGGGAGGGCTACGCGACGTCAGTCCTGTTCAATGTGGGTCGAGTTCTGCATTCCCTAGCCCCTTCTGCGTGAAAAGACTAACACTTATTGAACGCCTACTCAATGTCACCCGTTTTACAACCATTTTTATTACATCGTATAATCAACCCCTTGAGGCAGACATTGGCCGCGTTTTAAGGATAAAAGGCTGAGAGAGTTGTTTCCTGGCTAAAGAGACCCAAACCAGGTTTTCTGTTTTGGAAATTTTAATGACCTCCTCTCCGTAAGATCTGACCTGTGGTTAACTTCACGAATTAAGAATACATGATAGTGGTTAATAATTATAGTATAGTGTTATAAAGTATTTTCTCATTTACTGGTCTATTTGATCCTCAAAGGCAGTCTGTCAGGCAGTTACATCCACAGATTTTGATGTCCAGCAGGACTTACTTCGATTTGACCTTTCTTTTGCGATAACACCAATTCACTGAGGTTGTGAAAATTAAATGAGATTATGTGAAGTATCTGCTTGGTACATAGTAAACCCTCAATAAACGTAATTATTTTCACATCCTGTTAGTACCCGTCAGGTCCAACATGTCTAAGTAAGGTAGAAAGGGAATTAGTTTACACGGAGTTTTGTTCAAGGCACTATGCTAATTGCTAACTTGCTAGTTACTAATAGACTTGTATGTTAAATTGCTTGAAGTAAAACAATGGAAACCTTATACAGTCCTGCCCAATTCAAGGTAAGCCTTTGTTACTCATCTGAACTGATCAATGAATGTTCAGGCTGTACCTATAACAAATAGAACTTATTATCATGAACTTTCACGTATAGATGTATCTTATCTCTCCCCTTTTGATAGAGAGCTAGGAGTGTGGTCAGTTCTGCCTTCGTCCTCTTTGTATTCCTGCTCTATAGAAATGTGTGGGAGAGTCAAAGATAAAAACCGCCCTCCAGAGTCAAAGATTTAATGGAAAGAGTTAGGAGAAAAAGATTCTGAAAGGATATATGCAAACCTGGTAAACTCAGTGCCTGTCTCTGAAGAGTGGAAAAAGGTTTGTGATTGAGGGTGCTGGCCCAAAGGGACTATAGTCTCATGTTTTAGTTTTTTACTTGGAGAAAGTACTGGCGTATTGCTTAAAGATTAACTTTAAGGAAAGGGAGACCACTGCACCAGCCAGCCATCAAAAAACAAAAAAAGAAAAGAGATACCAGTACTCCATAAATATATACAATTATCATGAGTCAATTAAGAAAAAATAAAAAGAAAAACAATTTCAGAGATAGAAGTAGATTAGAGGTTACCAGAAACGGGGGAAGGAATAATAGGAAGTTACTGCTTAATGGGTACAGAGTTTATGTTTAGGATGACAAAAAAGTTTTGGAAATAGATGGAGGTGATGGCCACACAGCATTGGGAATGTAATTCCATGGAATTGTATGTTTTAAAATGGTAAAATGGCAAACCTTATATATATTTTACCACAATTAAAAGAAAAAAAGAAAAAGGAGACCAGAAACCATATGTTAGCTCTATGACCTTGTATAAACCGTATCATTTCTCCAGGCCTCAGTTTCTTCTTCTGTTATTTTCATAGTCAAAAACATCTGCATTTGTTGTGCCAGGCACACTGTGTTGGGTGCTTTTATTAAATTACCATTTATCATGGGAGAAGCCCTACCTAGTACCTAGGATCAGAAAAAATAAGGGCATCAAATCCCTAAAATGTCACTGACTACAGTTATTACAACCTGGTTGCAATAGAACTAACTCCTTACCATAGTCTTCCCCAAGAGATATCACTCTGCTTTTCCACCCAGCCTGATTCTAAGACATTGACTCTGAAACTAATTTCATATCCTGTGACTGCAAAGGACATCACCATCCCTTTTACCAGTTTTTATTTCCTTAAGTCTTCTTGGCTGAACCGAGGTGAGACCATAATGTCATGGAAAACACACTTGAGAAATTCTCAGAAGCCTAGGTTTTGAAGTCAGTAAACATGTGTGAAATTAGTCATTCTTAGATGAGACTCTTCCTCAGAAACAATCAGTAATAGATGGCTGAGACTTAGGAAGATACAATCAAAGCATATAAACTCCAAAGCAAAATTTTTACAACATAGACAGTTAATCACAGTTCAAGTCTAACCTACTCATAGTAAAACAAATAATCGTAATAAATGCATTATACCGTCCCTAAATGTGATAAGAGGGTACAGTCTGTATAGAATTTTTTAAAAAGTGAACCTTAAGAAGCAAAAATATATATCACACAGAGAAAAGAGTGGCCTAACCAGCACATGGAACATTCTGGTCACCTTGGCAGATTTCTGCCTTTAGCAGATGGATATGGGTGTTCCATGCCTATTAGCCATAAATATCACCCAAGATTCTCTCAACTGTGTTCTATGTAGCCAAACAAGCTTCTGATTAGAATTTGGCTTCTCAGGGGGCTGGCCAGTTAGATCAGTTGGTTAAAGCATGGTGTTATAATACCAAGGTCAAGGGTTTAGATCCCCATACAGGCCAACTGTCAAAAAAAAAGAATTTCTTCTCTTTCTTTAATTTTGTTTTCATTTATTTTATTTTATTTTTATTTTAAGAATTCTTCTCATTAAGTCTTTCCTCCAAAGAAGTGAATGCGTTATTGACCAGAGGACCCTATGTTATTTTGCTTGGCTGTTCACTGACAATGACAATTTGGAATATACCACATCAGTTTCTGAAGTGTGTTCATGCCCAAAACCAGCTAAGCTGTAGGCATGCTGACCTTTGAATGCAGTGACCAAAAAGACTCCCTAATAACACTAGTGTCTCATTTCCCTGAAAGTCCAACAAATTCCCTCCTAATTCTACTAATTAAATTACTTGTCCTGGGCTGACCGGTTAGCTCACTCGATAGGTAATACCAAGGTCAAGCATTTGGATCCCAGTACTTGCCAGTTGCCAAAAAAGATAGATAAAAGAAAAACTTGTCCTTTCTAAGCCTGTTTCTTTGTCTATATAAGGAGCTAAATTTTACTTACTTTATAGGGCACTGTCAGATTCATGCAACATAATGCATGTCAAAGCCCTCAGAAAATAAACTAAGAATTATAAGGAGCTGTTATTACCAGGAAGAACTTTATTTGCTTACACCGGTACCTATATAGGCAGTCAGTGGTTAAAGATTGGATTCTAGAGGAATCCAAGAAGGCCTTGACTCTACAACAGGTCAGCGAACTTCAGCCCATGGATCAAATCTAGCCCACCCCACTAGCTAAGAATGGTTTCTTATATTTTTAAATGGCTAGGGGAAATAATCAAAAGAAGAATAATTTCATGACACACAAAACATATGAAATTCAAAGTTTAGTGTCTGTAAAGTTTCATTGGAACACAGCCATACCTACTAACTTGCCTGTGGCTGCTTTTGTGCCATGATAAAACTACTTCAGAGGGTTGTTTGGAGAATTAGAGTTAAACTAGTGTTGGGTTTTGTTTTGTTTTGTTTTGTTTTGTTTTACTTTTTAGACTGCAACCCACAAGAAGAAATACACACTAATATACAATAGTATTGTTAACTTTCTGTCAGGTTCTCTCTTTTTCTTTTGTTCAAAACAGAGTTGAGTTTAGTGACTGAAAATACACACACCCCAATATGGAATGGAATGTATCATCTATACAAATCAGAATTAAGAGTCCAGGCTAAAGTGGGAAGGAAAGACACTAATCTTGGATAATAAAGTAATTCATCATAACTCTATTTCCATACTCTCCAAGTTGTTATATTATTCTGGGTTCTCCAGAGAAACAGAATCAATAGGATATACATACATACAAAGAGATTTATTATGAAGGATTAGCTAACATGATTATGGTGGCTGAGAAGTCTCACTATCTGCCATCTGCAAGCTGGAGCCCCAGGAAAGCTGTTGGTGTAGTTACAGTCCAAATGCAGAGGCTCAAGAACCAGGAGTATAGATGTCCAATGGCAGGAGAAGACGGATGTTCCAGCTCAAGCAGAGAAAGCAAATATGCCCTTCCTTCACCTTTTCTTGTTCTATTCAGACCCTCAAGGGATTGGATAATTGGATGATACCCACCCACACTGAAGAAGGTGATCTTTACTCAGTCTACTGATTCAGTGCTAATTTCTTCCGGAAACAACCCCACGGACACTTCCAGAAATAATGTTTTACTAGCTCTCTGGACATCCCTTAGGTAAAACATAAAATTAACCATTACAGTTGTCATGCCTAAAATATTTGGAGCTGAGATCTCTTACTTTC